ATTTTTGCACGTCTTTAACAATATTAGCGCTATAACATCTTCCTAATCATTTTAGAAAACAGATGAGTCCTCTGGTTTGTATTCAAACACTAAAGCTTTAGGGAACCGCTCTGATTTGTGTAGCACAAACCAATTCACACAAAACCATCCAAACATAAAGCGAGGAGATTTAACAGCTTGCAGTTTAATTTAAGAGTACCAAACTTCTGAAATGTAGAAATGGTGAATTAAAGGCATCAGCCAACAGAAAGGTCTTTAATCTGGATTAAAAAGGAGCTGAGGACTCAGCAGACCTGCAGCCTTCTGGGTGCTTTGTTCTAGATATGTGGAGCAGAAAAACTGAACGCTGCTTCACTGTGTTTAGTTTTTTATTTTGGGAACAGGAAGTAGAGCAGTTAGTGTTTGTGGTGGTTCAGAAGGTGTCAGCAGATACATAACAGCAAATGTAAGTTGGCCTTAATCATTCAGTGGTTTATAAATCAACAGCATGAGTCTTTGTTCGACAGGAAGCGAGTGTAAAGACCTGAGATGTGCATGATGTGATCCACTTTCCTTCTCTTGAGGACTCAAGCTGCAGCGTTCTGGATCAGCTGAAGGTTTCTGATTGACGTTACACAGAGACGTGTAAACACACCGTTACAGTAGTCAAGTTTACTGAAGGTTTCGTTCATAGACAAGTTTTTTTCAAATCTGGTTGAGTCATAAATAATCTAATCCTTGATGTATTCTTTAGGTGATGGTAGACTGATTCAGGTAGAGGTCCAAATCCAATCTTTGGATTGGTTTGTGGTTTTTAACATCAGTGATTGAAATTCAGTCAACACATGTTCAATTGGAGAACATTTTAGCACATCCAGTTGTTGATGTGTTCAATGCATTGACCCAGCCCTTGTATTGTATTTTAGTCCCCTGGTGATAGTTGTGTAGATTTGTCTGTCATCTGCACAAACAGACTTGGTTGTTTTCCATAATCTGAGCTAATGGAAGCATGTAGATGTTGAACAGAAGGGGCCCCAGTATTGAACCCTGGGAAAAAACACATGCTGCACTAAAGCTGTTATGGCTCCAAACCCACGGAATAGCCCTTTAAATCTTTAAATCATCACTTTTATCCTTTTAGCTTCATGGTTATTCATTAATCACTTAATTTTATTTTTGACCAGTTTATTTGCTCAAGCTGTTTTTTTTTCATTCTTTGCTTTTTACTTTTTTTTGTTTTGTTGTTGACTATTGTCTTGTATTTAATTGCTAAAGGCTTTTTATATAACATGTATTATTATCATCACTCTAATTATCATTAATCATGATCACTGCCTGGGATGTAGTCATTCTTATGACCTAACAACAGGTTAGAAAGGAGTGTGTGTGTGTGTGTGTGTAGCCACTAGTCATTCATTAGTGTGTATGCACTACACTCCACTACAAGTCCTCCCACTTTTTAAGTGTCCAATCAAATAAGAGGCATGTAATTCAGATCCCTCTTGTAAATGCTCACATATTCTGATTCACTGGGTCACAGTAGAGAAGATGAGGACGTTCTCATGTGACATGACGTGAGTGTGTCTATGTGTGAAAACACACACTTCTGCTACTCTGTTATTTTAGCATTATGATGGTGTATCTTCATATATAATTGGAGGTTCTATGTCTTCCTATGATGCAGAAGAGCTCTGACAGACTGTGGAGAGAGATGGGTTCTGGCTGCATTTCTTCATGTAAACAACATGTATGTTGATGAAGACACGTATGATGATTTTGTCACAATGGCAAAAGATTCTCTGTACTTAGAGAACCTAAGCAGGTAGCAGTTGTAATACACCATTCAACTTCACAGTGAAATCTGAACAGCTTACATTACATTTTTCATTGTAGACATCAGCATTAGGACATAAAGTAGGATTCTTGTCTTCTCTGAAGTTTTGTTCTGCTGCAGGAAATCACTTGTTAAATTAAATTGAAGATGTTTCATTGTTCACTACAGATCTGTCCTTGTTTCCATTCGATGTTTCATGTCTTCTCTGAACAGGATACTATCCATGGACCTATGATGGCAAAAGCGTGTCTTTTTCAGGACTTCTCTGCACGCTTTTATCTTCTGAGTGAATAGATCTTGAGGTTATAACGATCAAACCTTGCTGTCACAGCACATCCTGGTTCTCTTAAGTCAGTGACTGACGCAGCGATGTGAAAAGCCTGAACTTTCAACCCTCTCCTCAATGGTGATTATCTTTGATTTGCTACAGCTTTTGGTGGAAGAGCATCAAATGTTAATATTCATATACACAGTAGATACAGTACAACGCATTCTCTTTGTCTCTGATGAAACCACCGCAGCTCCCTTCCCCCCTGCTCAGCCTAACGGTGGGCCTTTGTTCATCTCTTGTCCTCTCCGCCGACTGGTTGCCATGCAATGCGCTGTCCATCAGTGACCCGGTAACTGTTGCTAGGAGGGGAGTGTAATTCTGAGTTTGTGCTTTTTCCTCCTATTTCTACACCCTATCACTCCACATCCCTCTTCCTTCAACACCCCCCCCCCGTGGCTTTCTTTAATCCATCTCTTTGATTTTGTCTCACCCTCCTCCCATTCTCATCTGTCAGGCTCCTCCTTCAACGTCCTTCACCTCTGCTTTCCATCCGCATGCTGCCTCTTTTCTCTGTCACTGACTTTACCCCCACCTCTCAATGATATTCATTTTCAGCCTGATCTCCAAAACCTGATCAATGTATACGAAAATCTTGAAGATACAAATTTGTAGTGATAGATTCAAAATAAATACGGACTGCAACTGATGACGTCACCCTATTCAAAGTGAATGGGGACCTGCACCCCGTAAACACACTTTGTGAAGTCTAACGATGTAAAATAAACCTGATATGATTGCATTTTTAACGACAAATCAATGTTAACTTGTAAGAATAGAATACTAACCCTAACCCACTCAAAAAATCCAACATGGCGGAGAGACGTTTGTGTTTTTCACTCAAGGGGCGTGGTTAACCACCGCCAGTTCCTATGTATTGTTACGAATTTCTATGTCAAATATTTCTTATACATTTTTTACGAACGGGTTTTGGAGATCACGTTGTCATTTTGGGTCAGTCGGCTCACCGTAGTGGGGCATCAGCTCTGTGTAAATACAGCATTTGGATATACTGTCATCTATTCAGTAGAAGTAATTATTTACATGCTGCAAAGGGAAAGGTTTTCCCCTATAAGTCGATGATTTGAGTCATCAGTTGAGAAGGACACGTGTCCCCTGCTGTCCGTCAAAGCACTTCCTTTTCCAGCCGTGTTCACAGAGTGAGGATACCATGTTGCTGCTTGCAGAGTTTAGGGTGGAGCAGCTTACCTGACCTTGGTGGTGGTACACTTACAAAAGTTTAAAAAATGCCATTCTGAGGACCTAATAACACACTTAATTACCACTGCGAAGGTGATATAGGTACAGTTACTGCTGGAGAGCCATTTGTGAAAGGTTTGGCGGTCACGGTGTGATTGATGGACATTGATGGGGGGGGGGGCGTAGGTGCAAGTTACCAAAGGAAGGAGCAAAATGAAGAAAAATCCACTGAGTGAAAGTCAAGTAAGAGAAAGAGGGAAGGGAAAGGAGCAGTATTTGGCGAGGATGAAGGGGGTTAGGGCGGGTCCGTGCATAATTACATTTTCTCTTCTGACCAGTATTGGGAATCAATAATGTAATTCATAGAAAAGCCCCGGTGCTGCCCCTCATTGGCATTCACAGACATGAGCCGTACTTACATTCGAAAGAATGAAAACATGGTGAGGTGGGTGGCGGTGTGTTTCCATCTCCTCCACAACGCCTGCAAAAACGTTGAATACTTTGACTTTCTATCAGAACATGATTGATGTCATCATTTGTCCACACATTTGAAGAAGTCTAACCTTTTTATTGTTTGCATCCTGTGACCTGCTGGAGGAAACGTGGGGTTGGAGACAGGAGGGTCACTGTTGTTAGAGGACACAAAGCTTCTATTAGTGTTACCTTGAATATTTCATATGTCATGGCTGAATATTTAGTTCATGAGAGGGGTTTGTGTTGTCAAACCATATTTGGTATATTTTGCTTTTAAATTTGTTGTGTCTGTTGTTTTTCATGATGAATCTTGTGGTTAAAAAAATAATTTTCTGGTTTTGTTTTGTTGCTGCTCTACCATCGTATGAACCATTTCAAGTCCCACTGAAGATTTTACCCGTTATTCTAAATGATGAACATAAGAAAGTCGTTGTAAAAGCTTTTATAAAACTTGTTACCACGAATCTCCACTTCTTAGTAATCATATATCAACAGCACAGAGCGGCCTGTGCCGGACCTCTTTTGTAGAGATGCAGTGGAAATGCACCAATTTTAACCTCCATCATATAGTTAGTCGTATTTGGGCCCTTATTGAGCACCCATTTCTCTGTGAGTTGTGTATGTACAGTACTGTTGGGCAGCTCTAACAACAGACACTCATTTACTGCAATTAAAGAACATGGCCCTACTACCTAATTAGTATAGGATTTCATAATATAATTGCAAAGTTGCAATTAATTTAACTGGAAAGGTTGACGGACAAGCATTGAATGACTCTGCAGACCCTTTGGGGTGTTTGCATTTGGGGCCATGGTGATCCGGCGTTATTCTTTACGATGTACCTGCATTTGAAAGGAGACATTGTCCCTGCCATCATCAGACATGCTGTATGATTACACAGCAGCCAAAGCCACGGCCAATGTTTTGTCAAATCCAAGGTGTATTTCTGATGCTGCTACGTTCTTCTGGTCGGAGGACTGTGGTGGTCCTCGCGTCTGTGTGCGTCCTGGAGACAGACCTTTTGTTACTACTCTGCATGTTGTTATGCGGCAGCTTGCATGTAAGCAGCTAAGAGCACAGGTAGCTGTCATCCTGCGCAGTAGGTGTCCATCTATGGCTGCAGAGTGCTGCTGTTGTTTGTGCTAACCCACCTGTCTGCGCCCCCCCCCCTCTGCCTCCCCACAGCGCTGACAGGAAGCCAAGCCGAGTCCCAAGCCCCGATCCAAGGACTTCACAGAGCCACAGTCGACGGGACACGACCCCGCAGAGCCGCCACCGAGGAGACCTACTGGTCCTACTCAGGTGTGTGTCTGTTTGTGTACATTTGTGCCCATGATCGTGGCTGTGTCTGGGTGATGTTTTGGGGGACATTCTGGAGGATGAGATTGGTGTTAAATGCTCTGAGAGCTGTGGGAGGTTTGGAACTACGGAATGCCCATCTGCTCCCATTCGATCTTGCATGTTGCAATCGTTCTTACGTCCATGAATCAGGACGTGAGAATCGACTTTATTGGCAATGTGTGATTACGCACACATTGACATTGACAGTCATATACAGGGTTCTTTTGCGACTAAACTAAGAAACACGTTGGACATGTTGGGTCGCTGGATTATTTGTTGGAAAATGTCTTTTTCGCAGAACTGTTCATTGATGCTTTACAATGTATTCATTAAACATTTTGAAATTATGAAAAACTGAGCAAATATTATAGTATATGAACCCCAGTGTGCAAAAAGTGTTCATTCATTTTGGAGAGCTGCTGCTGCCCTTTAAACTCAACATCCTTCCATCCTTACATTAAGAATTTCCCCACAACTCAAAATACATAAACTTTCCTTGGAAGCTTTTACTGTGAAACGGCTGCAGGAAGTGGAGGGTTTTTTTTTCTGTGAATAAAAGAACAAAGAATAAGGCATAGTCAGCTCACACAGCCACTGCGAAGCCCCTCGGTTCGTGCTTTAGGGTTTGATTTCAGTTAATGGGGGGCTTCACAGGTACAGTAAACCTGGATGAACACAAAGACATGTGATTGAGCTAATGCTGCACTGTGTGTGTTATAGAGTATACGTGCTACTTCCTCCTCCTCCCCTCTCTCTGTTTCTCCTTCCTCTCTCAGCCGCCCCTCTGGCCTGGAGGCATCTCCGGGCCTCTCTTTTTTTATTCTACCAGTGCTTCAGAAGAGAAATAAGGCACTTCCGCTGTCCCTTTAGAGCTTTAAGTGTTTTAGAGGGGCAGCATTAATCTTTCACTGTGCAAGCGAATCAAGCCCCGGGCCACAAATGATCTTTTATCTTATTTATTTCAATACTCTCGCTCTCTCGTCTAACCTTAATTGGTGGTCCGTCGTGCCTGCGAGAGGACCGGGGCTTGTGGGTAAAAACAGAGCCGGTGACAGTTTCCCCTTAGCGCTCCTGTTGCTGACGCTCACATCCACCGATGCTCTCCTGCTGCACGCGTTTGATCGCAGCTCTTTGAGCGATGCTGATGTAACGGTGGGGAGCGTGATGGGTAGAATCCAGGCAAGAGAGGAAGTAGAGGAGAAATCCAGTTGTATTATTGGCCAGTGTTTCGTAAGCTCATACCGGCCCTCATCAGCGAGACAGAGGAGTTAAACAGAGACGTGGGACTGGTTTTACAGCTGCTCAACCTAAAGTCTACAATCAGAAGCAGGGCGGTCTCTACTCTGTCACTCCACACTCTTCCTATTATGAATAGGAGATGTTTGTAATGTCATCTTCTCCAACAAAGGCACACACACACACACACACACGTGGCTTTTATTAAAGAGTCATAACATAAAGATAACTTACATATTTACTTTATGGCTTGTAGGAATGTAAGTTTGGTGTGGAAGACATTCGAACACATCACAATGAGGCACAGTACATCTTCTCGTCGCAGTTTGAACACATCCTCAGCAATTCATTACAATTGAATAAACATTGCTTCATATTCATCCAAATTGTGTTTTTGTAGCTGTCTGCGTATTTAATGAACAAAAACATAGAACTTTCCGTGTTCTCATTGACGTTACACCCCCCCCCCCTGCGTGGCTGCCAGCGAGTCTTCAGCAATGTCAGTAGCCTCCCGAACACTGGGAGGTCATCGAAGGAGGATTCCACACATGGACGAACCCATATAGTGAATCAAGTAGACCAGAGGATGGACTTCAACACATCCAGAGGACACAGAGGACGAAGAACGCTGCTCTCAAATCAACCTCCATAGTGCCGTCGTCATCACACAAATGCCCACCGCGCCGGGCTGTGTTTGTGTGCGCACGCTGATTAAATGAACGGTGGCAACCAATTGAGCTGTCCGTGCGAGGTGTGAGGGGTGATGCATTACAGGAGTACTCTCCGTGATTGCGTCAGTGGCTGCGTGTCTAACGCGGGATCAAACTGACTCGCTCTCCGGCGAGGAAAGGCATCGATTCGCCGCCCCAGCAGACATCATGATATTTCCACACCTCTCAAGTAGTCCTTGAGCAGCCTTGACTCGCATCGAGGACAGGAGACGGCGTCCATCAAGTGTACGTATCAGGTCATCCCTCATGACGGGCCGTTCAGCCTGGAGGTCGGGTCGGTTCTCTCCGACCGCCGGCGTTTGAACAGTTATTAATTCATTTGGCACGTAAATCTACGTTGAACTGTGCTTTACACTGGATGTGAACACCGGTTTCAAGTCCCGTGCTGGACGACGCACGAGACAGAGAGAGTCCCCCTCAGGATCACCGAGGCCACACATGTGTGCTGCCACTGGTTTCCAGAGGGCCTACATGGCCTAGATTTGAGGTTCCGGATAGTGAAGCTGTTAATACATAAACACAAGAAAATGAAAACCGAAGGAATAAGGTAATAACTAGAAGAGGATTGATGGCTCCGAGCTACACCCATTTAAGGACAGCGGTGACTGGAAGAGCTGCTGGAATGAATCTCTTTTCCTCAGAGGGGAAACACTGCTTTAGTTGTTGAAGGAAATACATAAAAAGGAGATGGATAAAATATAGAAAAATCTTTAATTGTAATGGTGCCAAATGGGAGCCCATTAGCTGCTTCCACCGAAGCTTTCACGGCTTCTTTTGTGGGGTGAATGCTTAGAATTTATCAGAAGCTTTTCTGCCATCTCACCTTTTCTCATCACCAATCTAAAACTCGCTGCTATTCAGCGTAGCGCGGACATTTTTAAAGTGCAGAAATGTCATGAGTACGTTGATGCACGTGTCACCGGCAAAATGAAGCCATGAATAGAGATGAAACAAGGTGGCACGTTGAGATGAATAGATGACACAGCTGTGTGAGAGAAAGGAGCAGTTGACAGTCAGAAACCGAACAAAACATTGAAGTATTTGACTTTTGAACTGGCTGATAAAACCGTCATCATGAAATAGGCAGAAGAACTACTTTCATTTTATTCAATGTTTTCACTCCACTAAGAGTGCAATAGAATAGAAATCATCAATGACATTTTTAATGTGATCTTCTTGGATATATTTTTACCGCTCATTTTAAGTGATCTGATCAGCTGGTGAAGTTATGATGTTATGATTATGATTGACACTTTCAGAAACATTTCAAACAGGGTGTGATTGTCAAGTTCTCTGTTTTAAAGCCCCTACTAATGCAGACTTATTCACAACATAAACCTAACCGTACATTATTATTCTTACCATCAGTATTTAACTTAGTGGGTCATTTTAAATACTAATACTATCTTACTAATGGCTCATTGTTTCCACAACTGGAAACACGTGGGCCTCGTTTGATCCATGTGTGCGTCTGTCTGTCAAACATGACAAAAATAAAGGAAACATGAATAGATAAAATAAGAAAGGTCAAGCATTTCTACATTAAATCAAGATGACATACTTGAAAATACCAAAACACAATTAAGGAATTAACGGCGGCTATCAAAGCATCTACTCTGTCTTGTATGTGAATTAAAGGGTTATAAACATGTAACTACCGTGAATGTAGCCATCACATTGATCCATTAAATGACCCCTCACTGATAATATCCAATTAAATTCAATTTGACCAATAATCCTTCTTTTCATTTGACACCTCTTGGTAAAGTCAATGAGTCCATTTAATTGAAACCGTGGATACTTTTCTTGCCAGGAGTACGGTGCTAAATGTATTCTATGTAGGCTAATCGATGTGTTCTCCTTCATTAATAACTCTTGAGTCCATTTTTACATGAATTAAGGGCGACCCAACGTGGGACATGTGGCTGGTGGAGATTGTTAGATGAAAACCTGTGCTGCATTTCCTCTTTTCTATCACTGTTTCCCGGCTCCTGACTTTGATTGTGTGGTTTAATAAGTATGTGGCAGCCGCCTCCCTTCCAGTCTGCAGCTGTAATGGAATGACCCGGCGCTGCTGACAGCACACTCCTTTAAAGTGGGGCCGCGTGCACATCTGCCACTGTAGCCCTGCCACATAATTGTTCAATTTACTGTACAGCCAATATCCCCGTGCTGTAATTGAATATGACTTTGTCCTGTTTGAGTAATAGCTCCGTTTCAAGCGAGCGAGAGACACAGAGAGAGACGGGGGGGAGAGGTGAGGGATCTTGTGTAGATGAAGCCTGTAGGTCACATCCAGCTGTCAGGCTTCTGGCAATGACGTCTTTGCTGTTGCCATCCTGGTTGAGCTCCACCATTGCAGACAGAGAGACACCGTTGGCTCTGGTTTGAAACATTGTTTTATAACATCTAGTCCAAAGAACTCAAGCGGCTTAAAAGCACTCCAAAGATTTCCCTCGTGGCTGCAGGTGCTCATGGCGGATCCAGGTCCCTCCTTACATGCCGCTCAGCCAGGTGCAATGTGGCGTTTTTCATCCGGGTTTCCTGTGAACGGAAGTAACGAATGTAACTATGAATCCTGGAGTTCTTTGTCATCGGGAAGAGATTCCGTAGGATTGATCTCAGGATGACAAGTCATCACCGGGAGGAGTCATAAAGGCCTGTTAGGTGTGTGCGCGAAGCCTTTACAGCTTTTGTAGGTTCATACGTGTGTTTTCACGCTCACATCTTTAGGACCTTCTTATGCGGTAACAAAAAGCAATCACACATAATGTTAACTGTTAGAAAGAGTCTCACTCCACACATCACGACACAAATAATCAAAACAGAATATTTCATGTTTGCAAACAGGAGACACAGTTCAGAGGTCTTCATCTTTCAGAGAGCAGAGCAGGAATATATAGTTGGAAAATAAACCTGATCATCTTTGACACCACAAGATTATGAACATCGGAAATTAGGATTCGACTTCAGTCACCAGGAATTGGATGAATG